GGTGAGGCCCAGCCTGTGCCCACGCCATGCCTTACTCACAGGGGCTTCCGCCTCTCGTCTTGTACCAGAAGACCCCCTGCCCCAGGAAGTCCCCGCCGGGTGCCTGGAAACCTACGTGTGTGCCACACGATGCCCGAGCGCTTTATTCTCATTTTAGGCTTGGTGTCCTACGAGGTTGGCGTCATGATCCAGTCCCCTCCCCAGAGGAGGCGCCACCACTTGGACTGAAACAACTCGCCTAAAGCCCTGCAGTCATGAAGCAGCACCCAAGGCAGCAGCCTTCCGGCTGGGCTGACCCTGGGACCGTGCGCTCCCAGGTCCCTGGAGAGAGAGGACCCCATTTTGGCACCATCTCGTGGAGCTTGAAAAAAACTGTGACTCTAGGACACCGGAGTGAGCGAGGCCTAAAGTAGTGCGAGGGAGCTGCTCCACTGAGCTGACTTGCAGGCTGGGCTGACCTGCTGAGCCCCATGTCCCCACGAGCATGTGCCCCCCTGCCTGAACCCGCACCCTGCATGGGCCACCTCCCTACCCAGGTGGTAGCCAAGAAGCTGGGGTGGTTCACAAGTTTACCAGGTGATTTCCCCCCAAATCATCCTCGGTGTCCCCTGCTCCCAAAACCCTGCCCAACTCCGTAGAAGCCATAACAATCCCTTCAGGGTTTCAGAAACTTCTCTCCTTTGCCACACTCTGGACCTGATCTACCAGCCACACCTGCGAAATAGTCCTCCGCACCTGCGCTGCCCCTCACCACCCTCCTGCACTGGGCTTGTTCGGAGGAAGCTCGGAGGGAGCTTGGAGGGAGCTCGGAGGTCTGCGTTTCCACAGCACGCAGAGTGAAACCACTGCTGGCCTCCCCGCCATGGCTCCCCCTCCCTCAGCTCCTGGCTCCACGCCGCACCCACAGCCTCCGGCTGCTGCCAGCCCCGCATTTTCATCCCAGACCACTCCGAAGCCACGTCCCCACTACTGTCCTCTCACTCTAGATTTCAGCCCAGCGTTCGCTTCTTTTATCACACTCTTACTTACTACTGTGATTGCACTGGTCTGTTTACGTCCCTCGTCTGCCTGGAACACGAGCCCCTGACAGCAGAGACGTGCATCACCCAGGCTCAGACAGGGCCTGGCACACCGCAGGAGCTCAACGGATGCGCACTTTTGCATGGACTGCAGCGAGGACTGGCACACAGGCGATGGGCTTTTGCACTCCAGTGGCAAAGCTGAAAACTGCTGGCCCCCGAACAACATGGGAGTTAGGGGCCTCGACTCCCGTGCAGCTGAAAATCCAAGTATAACTTTTGACTCCGCAGAGACGAAACTCCATCCCTCAGTACCTGCAGGGGATTGATTCCGGGACTCTCACGGACAACAAACTCCACTCAATTTCATTATATAAGCGGTGGAAGAACAGCACATCCCATTGGCCCTTCGCTCCAGGGACTCCCAGTCGTGGATGCAGAAGCCAGGGCACGGAGAGCCACTGTGTACTCACTGAAAAAGCCCATGTGTAAGCGGATCTGTGCAGTTCAAACCCATGTCGTTCAAGGGTCAACTGTAGTTTGCATGATATATATTACAGGGCCTTTACAAAAAATGTTAGCTGACCCCTGGCATACATCGTCTCATTCATTCCTATGAAGTAGGACTAGAGATACATCAATGAACAAAGAGAAAAATGGGGGAGGCAGACAACAGACATTTTAAGTAATCTATTCAGCATACTGGAAGATAGTACCTGTATGAAAACGAGGGGGCAGGTAACACAGTCCAGTCCTGCTGGGGCGGGAGTAGGCCTCACTGAGAAGGTGAAATTTCAAAGACTTGAGAGGAGTGAGGGAGTGAGCCATGCGGCTATCCCGGGAAAGAAGGTTCCAGGTAGAGGCCATAGCAAGTGCAAAGGCCCTGAGGCAGGATCAAGCCTGGGATGTTAAAGGAATTGCGAGGAGGCCATGCTGGCTTGCTGTGTGTAACGGAGAAGAGGGAGAGGTAAGGTCAGTGATGTAAGGGGCTGCATCTGGAAGGACCCTCTAAGGCCACAGTTGGCCTTTACTCCAAGAGGCCTGAGGTGTCACACCAGGTTTCTCTACTTTCCAGAGATTAGATTAGCCCAGAGCCACACAATGATGGAGTTGGACCTTGGTTCCCCTTAGCCCCATAGGGTCAGTGAGGTGCTCTCTGCACCCTGACATCGCAGGTTCTCTCTGCAGGCCAGGGTCCCCACCTGAGGAATGGCAGCAGCCAGGCTCGGTGGTCTCCATCCGGGCCAGCTGCGTCTGGGCTGGGTCCTGGCAGTACAGACACGTGGGGCATCTCTGGGTCTGAGCCCAGTGTGGTCAGGGTCCTGGGAGGCCGGCTGGGCACATGCCTTTCAAACGGCTTTGACCTAGGGCCATCAGCCAGGGTGGCCCCACGCCCTCCCAAACCAAGCCTGACATCTAGTGCTCCCTCGCTGCTTCCTCTGGGCAGCCCCAACATGCTTCTGAAGCCCCAGCCTTGACATCAATAGGTTGCTCCCCATTTTATAGGTGGACAAACTGGGTCACCTTCATCAAAAAGTAAAGCTTGACGTGTCACACCCTGACTGCTTTAGCGCAGCGGGGCAGCGGTCAGGCTTCCGCCCGGGAGTCTGAGGCCCGGGTTCTACATGTGATCTTTGCCTGACCGAGCATGACCTTTGGCAAGTGACAGCAGCTCTCCAGGTCTCGATGGTCTCATCTATAAACGGGGGTTGCAGGACAAGATAGCCTCTAAGGACCCTCCCACTTAACCCTCCACCATTCTGCAAGTCCCACCCAAGCTGCCCACTTCAGGTCGCTCTGAGTGTGAGATACAAATCCTACCACAGAACAGCAACAGGCTGAAACGGGATAAAAGGACCCCTAGGCCCACGACTCGGCTCCTCCAGACCCCAGCGGGGCCTCCCTCCTCTGGCCTCTCTCCCCTCCAGCCTGTCCGCTGGGAGGTGGCAGGGCCCTAACACAAAACTGACTGTGTCTCTACCTTGCTTAAACCCCCAGTGCCGCTTGGGTACTCGAGCCCTTGCGATCGGAACCCCAGCCTCACCTCCCACCGCGGCATTCTGGGCCAGGCGGACACTGGCAGCCGGAGAGCTGGATGGGCACCCAGGTCTGCTGTGTGAGTGCCTCTGGTGCACCCCAGTCTCCACGGCTCCCATCTCCTCATCCCCCGCTCCTCACAGCTTTCTGTCTTCTCCTGGGAAGTGCTGACTCAGAAACCCTTAGCACCTGGGCCTCCTGCCTGGCCACCCGCCACCTCCTGTACCCACTTCTCCTTCGCCTTCATGCCCCACTCGCCCCCCGCTATCCGTTTCTCCATGAAAGCCTGGCTCAGACGCCAGCAGGCGCTGCCGCCTCGTCTGAGGCCCCTGCTTGTCTGCTCTGCGTGCACGCCTGCCTCCCACCGCTGCGCAGCCCCTGGAGGGCAGGGCCGGGGCTTATCCGTTTCTGTGTCTGGTCCCAGGGGAGACGGCTGGTGAGGGGCCTGGAAACGGAGGACGAGCATGGGTGACGGTTTCTAAACTGGACCTAAGGGCAGTGCACAGCCAGGGCCTCTGGCCTCTACAGGGAACCTCGAGGGAGAAAGCCCCTGTCGACACCCCGAGAGCTAGTGTGGAAGGCACAGCAGGCCTGCCTGTCACTCTTCGTGGAACCTGCTCAGAAGGACAAGATGCTCTGGCCCCCGGAGCTGTCCTGTGGGTGCACAGTACAGGCCCCGACCAGGCTCCAGGGTGTGCAAAGAGGCCGCCAACCGCTGTTCCCACGCCCAAGGTGGGGAGACGGTCAACTCAGAGGCCAGGTCGGCCCCCACTCAGGGTCTCGCGGGCCAGGTGGGCCCCAGGCTGTCCCAGGCTGCTGAGCGTCATGCTCCCAGGGCCTGGTTTCCGGGAGCCCTGCCCGCAGCACCTGGCTCACAGCGAGGCCTCCACTCCCTCCACAAAATCGATGGCATGTCTGGGTTTTCCTAGCTCCAGAGCTGACCTGAAGAGGGACCATGAGGTGACTCCACCCCGGGGAGAAAGCCAGGCCTCCCTGAGCACTGCCCACCACCACACAGACCAGCCTTCACCAGCCTCCGCAGCAGCCACGAGAGGCAGGCACAGGCAGGCCTCCTCCATGTTCCGTAACCAAGGCTCAGGGGCTCATCCGGGTTCACTCAGCCAGAAGCAGGCTGACCCAGAACTCAGGCCAGGTGCCCTGCTCCCTGAGCCCTGCCCGAAGGTGGACAGAAGGAGGCTGGGTGGCCCCAGAGAGAGAGAGGCAGGTCCGGCACTGGCATGAAGTCACTGGCAGGCTTGAGACAAGTCACATGCCCTCCCTGAGCCCTGGTTTTCCCATCTGTACAATTAGGGGCTTGGACAAGACAAGCCTCCAGTAAGTCCTAACTGACATTCTGGTGTGCTTTCTGCTCTTAACCTCCCAGCGGGTCCGACTTCAGGCCCTCAGGGAAAGAGGTCTGGAAATATCCACTCCAATGGCACTCCAATGCCAGAAGGGTGCTCCTGGGGACAGTTTGTGATAGAGTTGGCCAGCCCCAGGTAAGAGGCAGGTCAGCTACATGCAGCCTCTAACCTCAGCGCAGATCATGTGGGCTCTCTGCGCCCCCTAGTGGGAGGTCCTGGCTCACCTTGGTGCAGTCCAGGGAAGCCTAGAGGCTGACCAGGGACATCCACCACCACCCCCTGATACTGAGTACCCCTCTGGTGCCCCATATCTAGAGCTTGGGGTGAATCAGGAGTCACAGAACCTATGTTCTTCGCCTAACTATCCTGGCTGCTAAGCCTGCACTCTGGGCCCTGGACCAGCTGTCACAAACTCACTCTGTGACTCTAGGCAAGTCATTGTTCCTCTTTGGGTCTCAGTTTCCCCAGATGTTCAACAAGACAGAAGTGCATGAGAGGATGTCAAGTCTGCCTGAGGGGCCTCCAGAGTGGGAGGCTTCCAGCCTCTGTTGGCTAGAAGCTGAAGGTAGGGACAGCTCACCGATATCTTGGTGAAGACAGACAGCAGCAGTGACAGGACAGACAGGTACATGCGAATCCTCTGGCCTCCGTAGCGCTTCTGAATGTATTCAGGCATGGTGATGATCTGGCAGCGGCAGGGGGTGTGGGGGGAGAGTTCCTGAGACCACAGCCAGCGTTCGGGGCTAGGAGCTCCTCAAGGGCAACGTGCAGGCCCACGCTGAGTATTGAATTCCAGGCTAAAGATTTTGACAATATCCTCAGGGTTTTAGGCAGAGGAGTGGAAGGTTTATGTTGCTCTTCAAGGCTGACATGAGGAATGGATTGGAGGGGCTGTAGCTGGGGACAGAGGGACAAGCTTGGAAGCTGTTATTACAAAACCAGATGAGCTATGTTGAGGCTGGAAGGAGAGGTGGCTGCGAGGGGCAGGGCAGAGGGCAGACTGAGAGGGATCCCGGAAATGGAATCCCCCAGACTTAGTGACAGCTCAGCTGGGGCTAAAGGAGTGGGCAGAATCAAGGACAGTGTTGCCCAGGTGTGCCACACTGGTGTGCAGCTTAGTAGTGCCACCCAGGTGTGTCATTCAGGTGTGTAGCTTGTGCGCCCAGGTATATGGAGCATCATTCCCAAGATGCAGCATGCAAGGGTCATGGAAACCAGCAAAGGTACCTGGGCCGATGTCCTAGGGGACCTGCCTTGGGTTGATAGGAATGTTTATTGGACTAACAACAAACACAGCTTGGAGAGTTCACCAACTTGTGAGTGAAGCCAGAGGGGCCTGCCTATCACCACCAGCAATTTGGACCAAGGTCCAGACCCAGAGGAGGCTACCCTGAGGCTCCAGGAGCAGACTCACCTCTGAGGAGACGTAGATAGGCACAAACACCCACGCCAGGGCCAGCAGCACGTATGTGGCCTGAAGGTGACAGAGGAAGGGTGAGGACAGAGGGCACAGCTCCCACAAGCCCTGCTCCAGAAGTGAAACTGGGTCCCGTGGTCTGGGGGTCTGACTTGCCATGAGAACCCAGGGCAGCCCCTTCTCCTCCTTGCACCTCTGTAAACAGCTGGCCTGGGTCAGGGCTAGCAGCTCCCTTCTTGCTGGTTTGTCCAGCATTTTGGAAGACCAGATTTTCCCAGGAACACTGCTGCATAGAACACATCTGGACACTGGCTGACCTAAGTTGCTGGGAGGTGCCCCTCTGGCCATTGAGGGGTGCACTCCCATGGAGCCCCTATCCAGGGCCTTTCAAGGTGGTTGCACCTCCCACAACCTGTGCCCCCCACTCTGGGAGCTCACATTCCATTCAAAACCTGCCACAGCCAGGCCTCCAGCCGCGCCTGAGCCTGCCAGTCCAATGAAGAGGCCTGCACCCTCGCTGCTGGCAAAGAGGGAGGCTCCGATCTGGAGGGGAGAAGGGAAAAGGAATCAGCCGTGGACCATCAAGATTTCAAAGATCCCACCCTTCACACAATTTCTAGCACCCCCTTTCTACACCCCCAGCTTGGGGACCCCCTGACAGCTTCAGCCTGTCCCATCACCACCTGCTTGAACCAACCTGAGCAGTGACCTCAGGGATGCAAATGCTGCTATCTGGAGGTCAGATGTGGTCCCACTGAAGGAGGGACAGGAGGTTTCGGGGTGCACTCACCGGCCACCACGTCATGTCCCGGCCTGCCAGGAAGTAGCCGCTCACTGTGTTCCTGCTGGCTCGACAGGAGGACTGTAAGAACAGAGCAGAAGTTGGAACCCTTGTGCTTTGCTGGAGGGAATGTAAAATGGTGCCCCTGCTGTGGAAATAGTCTGGCCATTTCTCGAAGATTAAACATACAATTACTCTATAGCCCAGGAGTTCCACTCCTAGGTGCGTATCTAAGAGAACTGAAAACAGGTGTTCAGACAAAATCCATGCACATGAATGCTCATAGCAGCAATGTTCATAATAGTCAAAAGGTAGAAACCACCCAGTGTCCATCAACTGATGAGTGGATAACAAAATGTGGTCTCTCCACACTATGGAATATTATCCAACCGTGTCAAGGAGTGAAATATTAATACATGCTACAACATGGGTAACCCTTGAAAACATTCTGTTAAGTGAGAGAAGTCAGACCCAAAAGGCCACATGTGGTGTGGTTCTGTTCATACGAATGTCCAAAATAGGCAAATCCATGAAGACAAAAAATAGGTTAGTGGTTTCCAGGGACTGGAGAGAGGAGACAATAAGGAATGACTACTAATAGGTGTGGGGTTTCCTTTTGGGGTGATAAAATGTTTTGGTACTAGATAGAGGTGGTGGTTGTTCAACACCGTGAATGTACCAAATGTCACTAAACTGTGCAATTTAAAATGGTTAAAATGGATCACAATAGCTTCTCTCCTCACAGAAGATTAACTGGTGGAGAAATTGATGCTTAGAGCTTTAAACTAATCTCCCAAGACCACACAGCTTTCTCTCAGTTGTCACTCCAATCCTGCTTTCTGACTCCAGGCTCATCGTCTCCTGAGGCTTTACTCATTTCAGGTTTCATTGGTAAAGAATCCAAAACCTTGATGTATCAGGACTATGCTCCAACCAACTGAACTACCTGGCCAGGGCTAGACTATATCCTTTTTCAAAGCAATAGACAGAGTCAAACTGATTGCACAAGTGGGGACACTAACTTCTGGAGGAAACAATAGAACAACGGCCCCTTTATAGCAGCTCACATGATGTGGTCAGGGTTGAGTCTCACAGTCAGCCAGCCTAAGAGGAAGATCCCACCCATGAATGGGACAACAATCAAAGCCCAATTACAACAGGAGAGCCCACATAACCCACAAAAGGGATACTCTTAGCCCAGTCAGTGTGGCTCAGTGAATTGAATGTCGTCTCATGGACTGAGAGGTCTTGGTTCGATTCCTTGTCAGGGCTCAATCCCCAGTAGGGGGCATGCAGGAGGCAGCCAATGGATGTTTCTCTCTCACATCAATGCTTCTACCTCCCTCTCCATTCCTTTCTCTCTAAAAAATCAATAAAAAACATTTTTTAAAAAGGGGGGGGACATTCCTAGAGCATGAAACTCAGGAGTCAAGGAGACTGTACCACTGGGTCCCACAGGGCATTTACTACAAAAGACCACTCTATGATGACTGGGAGTCATAGCAGTTCTATCTAATTTATACAAACAAACACCAGAGACAACTAAAATGGACATACAAGGAAACACTACTAATGAAAGATAAAGAGAACTCTCCAGAAAAAAGAGCTAAATAAAATGGAGGTAAGCAATTTATTAGACATAGAGTCTAGGGTAATGGTTATAATGATGCTCAAGGAACTTTGTGAGAACTACAAGTGACTTAATGGGAACTACAAGGAACTTAGTGGGAACTACATCAACATGAAAAAGGACATAGAAGCTGTGAATAAGAACCCATCAAACATGAATAATGCTATATCTGACATCAAGAATACACTGTAAGAAATTTAAAATAGGCTAGATGAAGCAGAGCAATTTGTAAGACAAGGTAGAAAAAACACTCAACTAGAGCAGCAAAAAGAAAAACCACTTAAAAAACATGAGGATAATTTAAGGAAACCTTGAGACAATATGGAATGGAACAACATCTGCATCATAGGAGTACCAGAGTATCATAGGAGTGAGCAAGGGATAGAGAACCTGTTTGAAGAAACAGTGACAGAAAACTTCCCTAACCTGGTGAAGGAAAAAATCAGACAAGTTCAGGAAGCACAGAGAGTCCCAATTAAGATGAACACAAGGAGACCCATGCTAAGACACATCATAATTAAAATGCCATAAGTTAAAGACAAAGAGAGAACCTTAAGGACAGCAAGAGAGAGGCAGCCAGGGGCCTACAGGGGAGCTTCCATAAGGCTGTCAGCTGTTTTCTCAACAGAAACACTACAGGCCAGAAGGGAATGGCATGAAGTATTCAAAGTAATGAAAAGCAAGGATCTGAATCCAAGACTACTCTAACCAGCAAGGTTATCATTCTAAATTGAAAGTGAAATAAAGAGTTTCCCAGACAGGAGAAAAAAAAAAGGCTAACAGAGTTTATTACCACCAAACCAGCAATGCAAGAAATGTTAAAGGGACTGTTGTGTATATATATGGAGAGAGAGAGAAAGAGAGGGGGGAACATAGGCATAAATAATTAAAATGGCAATAAATAAGTACCTATCAATAATAACCTTAAATGTAAATGAATTAAATGCTCTAATCAGAAAACATAGGGTAGCTTAATAACCTTAAATGTAAATGAATTAAATGCTCTAATCAGAAAACATAGGGTATATATATAATGGATATATATACCCATATATATTTCCATATATATATATATATTGTCTACAAGAGACCCACCTCAATACAAAAGACTCACACAGCATAAAAGCAAAGGGCTGGAAAATTGTTTCCATGCAAATGGAAACAAAAAAAAAAAAGTGGGGGTAGCAATACTTATAGTATCTGACAATATAGATGTCAAAACAAAGGCCATAACAAGAGATAAAGAAGGTCACTACATAATACTAAAGGAATCAATCCAACAAGAGGATGTAACTATGGTAAACATATATACACCCAATATAGGAGCACCTAAATATATCTTAAAACTCCTGGAGGACTTTAAGGGAAAGACTGACAGCCACACAGTCATAGTAGGAGACTGTAACACCCCACTGACATCACTAGATAGATCTTCCAGACAAAAAAACAACAACCTTAAATTATACACTAGATCAGATAGGTTTAACTTATATTTACAGAACATTTCATCCCAAAGTTGCAGAATATACATTTTTTTCAAGTGTACATGGAACATTCTCAAAAACAGACGACATGTTAGAACACAAACTAAGTCTCTACAAATTAAGAAGATTTAAATCATACCAAGTATCTTCTCAGATCACAATGGCATGAAAATAGAAATCAACTACAATAAAAATCTCAAAAACACTCAAACATAAGGAGGCTGAATCACATGTTATTAAACAATGAATGGGTTACCAATGAGATCAAGGAAGAAATCAAAAACTTTCTGGAAACTAATGAAAATAAACACACAAAACCACAAAATCTATGGGACACAACAAAAACAGTCCTGAGAGGAAAGTTCATAACATTATGGCCTACCTCAAGAAACAAGAACAGGCTCAAATAAAAGAATTAGAAAGAGAACATCAAGAAAAGCCCAGAGGAAATAGAAGGAAGGAAATAATAAAGACCAGAAGAGAAATAAATCACATAGAAACTAAAAAACAAACAAACAAAGGATCAATGAAACCAAGAGATGGTTCTTTGAAAAAAAAGATTGATAAACTTTTAGCAAGACTCATCAAGAGACAAAGAGAGAGGATCCAAATAAATAAAATCAGAAATGAAAAAAGCAAAATAACAACTGATGCCACAGAAATACAAAGGATTGTAAGAAAATACTATGAACAGCTATAAGCCAACAAACTGAACAACCCAGGTAAAATGGACAAATTCCTGGAAACATATAATCTTCCAAGACTCAATCAGGAAGAATCAGAAAACCCAAATAGGCCCATAACAACTAATTAAACTGAAGCAGTAAAAAAAAAAAAAAAAAAATCCCCAGCAAACCAAAGTCCTGGCCCAGATGGCTTCACAGGTGAGTTTTACCAATCATTCAAAGAAGAACTAACATCTATCCTTCTCAAACTATTCATAAAATTCAAGAGAGGGAAGGCTTCCAAGCTCTTTTTACAAGACCAACATTATTCTAATTCCAAAACCAGATGAAGACACAACAAAGAAAAATTTACAGGCCAATATCCCTGATGAACATAGATGCTAAAATCCTCAACAAAATATTAGAAAATCAGATCTAGCAATACATTAAAAAGATCATACACCATGACCAAGTGGAATTTATTCTGGGGATTCAAGGCTGGTACAATATTTGCAAATCAATAAATGTGATACATCATATAAACAAAATGAAGGACAAAAATCATATGATTATATCAATGCATGCAGAAAAAGCAATAGACATAATATAGCACCCACTTTTGATAAAAACTCTCAGCAAAGTGGGAATAGAGGTAACATACTTCAACACAATAAAGGCTATATATGACAAACCTACAGCCAGCATCATACTCAATGGGTGAAAACTAAAAGCATTTTCCTTAAGAACAGGAACAAGACAGGGATGTCCGCTTGTACCACTTTAATTTAACATAGTACTGGAGTCCTAGCCACAGCAATTAGGCAAGAAGGACAAATAAAAGGCATCCAAATTGGAAATGAAGTAAAATTGTCATTATTTACAGATGACAGGATATATTGTACATAGAAAATGCTAAAGACTCCACTAAAAAAAAAAAAAAAAAAAAAAAAAAAAAAGCTAGATTTAAGGGATTTGGGAATGAATTTGGGAAAGTAGAAGTATACAAAATTAACATCCAGAAATTGAAGACATTTTTGTACACCAATAATGAACCCTCAAAAAGAGACACTAAAAAAAATCCCATTTACCATTGCAACAACAACCACAAAAAAGATACCTGAGAATAAACTTAACCAAAGAGGTAAAAGACCTGTACTCAGAAAATTATAGGACATTGAAAAAAGAAATAGAGGAAGATACAAACAAGTGGAAGCATATACCATGTTCATGGATTGGAAGAATTAACATCATTAAACTTTCCATACTACCTGAAGCAATCTATAGATTCAATGAAACCCCTGT